ATTAATTGGAGCATATGCGTTAGAAGCAAGGAAGGGTATTAAAATAGAATAAATTCAGATGTAAGGATTGTCTAACTATCCCACCACAGCTCTTCTCCCTGATTGGTTTTCATAGAAGAAAGTCCAGTTCTACATAAAAATGGGGCACTGTGCCATATAATTTGCAACTATCATAGCACATTACAGTATCGTTTTAAATAATGAACAAATAAAATGTCTGAGATAACACTGTAAGACAGCAAAACGCGCCCACTAAAGATGGGTAAAGTTTTCTTTGAAGATACTTCTATTATTGTAAAAACAATTTTATTTATTTTGAAACAGACTATAAGGTATTCGCTAAAAACGTATATTGAATTTTTGTTGAATCTACCCAAATCAACACACTTAAGAATTATTATAAAGAGTATTGAGTTTTGAGATTTTTTTTTTACTGGCAATAAATTGGTTTGAGATGAGATTAGTAATAGATTGTTAATAAGTTTCGCACCATAAACCTGAATGTGTTTACTCCGAAGAATATTCCTTTATGTTTATTGGTGTTTATTCTGCATTCAGATGTGCCTCTAATATATTCGAGTTAAAACATTCTACCAATGTTCACTTGAAATAATTTTCATTTAACCTGCACTATAACTAGGAGAAAATCTCTATATACAGTCAATTTATATTCAAATAAAAATGTGTATTATTGTGTAATTAATGCTGAAGCGTTAAGGCACAACTATATTTTTTTTAAAAAAAAACATTTATTACTGTTTACAAAAGTATGGCAAAGCAGTTGGGTTTCTTTTCTATCCTTATTGACAACAATGATGAAAATACCAAAATAGAATATATTTGGGTGGAGATTTTACTGTCAAATCTAAATCATAATTCTGTTGCAACAAAATATAAGGAGGAAGTTGAAACATAGTTTTTTTCAATGTTCTTTTTAAAAAAAAAAAATCAACACATAGGCAAAATGGACAATAATAGTAGTTTCCAACTTTTCCAAGACTCAATAATAATTGATAGTTTTTAAAAGTTGTTATTTTCGGGGTTTAATCAATACTATAATCCTAAAGTATTCTTCTTATTGCCTAATCATAAAAGTAGAGTGAACTAATCTACAGGGTATAGTATTAATTATGGATATATTTATTTGGGAGTCTCTTTTTACTACGTTATCCAAGTAGGCAATGAAAAGTCAAATATTAAAGAAGCTTTATTCTCAAATAGAATTTTTCACCAATATCTCTGAAGAGATACTAATATCTTAGAAATATAAACTCCATGAAGTGAATAATCAGGTGAAATTGAATCAACCAATAGACATCTCAGAAATCACAAATTATGCCAAACTTTTTAACTTAACCACCTCAAAAATGTTGATAGTCAACAATTTCCTACACGTTTTTCAAAAATGTACAGGCCTGATTTTAATCAATTCCATGTAATGTAAGATGTAATATTTTGGATAGAAAATTTAACCAAAAGCCCCAAGAAATACAAATTTGCACTACTTTTCTTGAGGAAATAAAATGAATAAAGGCTAATACCAACAAAGATTTTAATAGTCTGATGAAATGGCTGGCTTCTTTGTATCCACTTAAGTAGTATGCAAAACTTTACAATATAGCAGGATCTAAAGTTGATTCCAAACTAATGTGAAATATGATTTGCTTTTTTTTTTAAAAAAAAAAAATCCATTTATTACATTCTCCAAACACTTAAATTATCCTAGCCCACAAGTTTCTAGGTTGCGTTTGAGTTCCAAGCACGTTAGACGTATCACGAGAAATTTTATTTCACTTTTCTACAGGCAACTTTTTTCCCCCAAAATTCAAATTGGACGGAGTCAAAATACTTTATCATTAGCTTCCCTAATTATTTTACTTTATAACAAAGTGTTGTGTGACTCATAAACCATTATGACAATCACCTCTGCCAGTATCGTACAGGTAAGATCTGATTGTGTTTGACGAAAGGTGTACTTTTGATACTTTTGATTGCTGTCAGATATTAGTATCTTAATATCTATTGAACTGTACATGATTTTTAAAGCCTTTCCTATAGGAGCAAGCTTAATGTCAATGTTGAAAACCATTAATGTATTTTCCCCAAATGAGCCATAGTCTGGAATTATTAACTTTTCAGATTCCTAACTGCAAAAGAGTAATTTACCCCGACTATCTCTAGATACCTTAACAGCAAGAAGTAATTAGTTCATCTGACCTTAATGTTTGAAAAATGTTAAGACATTCCCGAAGCCCGTCTGTCTGCGTGGAAAATAAAATATGGTCTGAATGAAGAACTACCAGGGAAAAAAAATCCTTTTACAAAGAAGGCTGTTTTTACGTTTTTTATTAACAGGACTAGAGAGCAGAAATGCTCTATATGCACATACAATATATACACACATATATGCCACAAACATAAAGCACCATAAAAGCTTAGTTAAGGCTGCAATGCTCTGCCTACAGAAGAGTACATCAGTAAATGCAGAAGGACTTATTTTTGAGTCGATACGCTTAGTCCCATATTGCAAATGGATAAATCAGATGTTATAGAGAAAAAAAAATACAAAGATATATATTGTGTACATATAAACACACATATGTGCTTATATATGTCCATAAATGCTGATTCTTTTTCTCGTTTATAAAGTATGTACTATGCTATTCTGCAAACATCTCAAAAAGGCACTGCGTATTTTATGCATTTAAAAACTAATTCAAAAATTCCTGACTAAGTTAGCCAAGGCCTTACATCTCAAGCCTACACCATCTAAGTCCTATGAAGAGTTTCACTGTGAGGCTTGCTTGAATTCCAGAAATGAAAACATACGTGTTTGAAATCAAAGGTTTCCAAAAAGAACCTGACATCCCCTCCTAAATCAAAGAATTGGAAGCTGGAAAAACTAAGAGGACATGTAGAGGCTTTAAGTTATATCTTTATAGAATCCTAACTATTTTTTTTAAAAAATGTATTTATCTTCTTCATTCCTCTCCTACACCACATTTAAGAAACAACACAGCAATATAGGAACAAAATTCCATCTCTAAATTGCATCATGCAAATTTAAGCATATGGTGCAAGAGAGATTTTAGGGTTTAGATGAAGTTAAGCAGCTGCACAGGCGCCTCTCTCTCTCTGGTAAATGCATAATCCACAATTTAACTGGTGTTATACCTTTTTAAAAGAACATAATGACCCCTCTGTGTTTGTTTGGTTTTTTTTTAAAGGGGGAAAGGGGCTAAAGTATTCCATTTGTTTGTGTTAGCCAAGTTTGTAACAAACTTTCACTACTAGTCATAAAAAAAAAAAAACTTACAAAACGTTGATAGCATTTCCAGACCGTTTTGTCAGCATCACGATTTACAGGAAATAGTTGGTCTTCTCATGAAAGAGTTTATTTGCATGAGCCAGAAGACTTAGCAAAAACAAAGTTTAAAGGGTTTTTTTTTTTTTAATGATTTTTAATATGCCGAGTTAGTGAAATATTTGAAAGGGTTTTCTCACCTAACAGACATATTGCAAACATGAGGACAAGCATTGCCTTCTGTTCAGGAAACTCTACTGTACATTTTTCATTGTTTTCTCCAATAAACCTTTATCGCGTATTTGCACTTTATATGGTAACTTGAGCTTTTGATTTTTTTTTTAACTTCACCAATATTTCAATTCTTACGATATTTTTTTTAAGTCGCACAGAACAAAAGAATAATGCATAAACTATTTGCAATGCAATAGTTGGGACATTCCTTTTTAATATGTATAAAGGGGGGAGGGAAGATCAAACACCAAATTAAAAACCATCGATTAATATATTGCGCCAAAGGTTTATCAAAAGCTCTCCATTTTTTTCCAGCCATTCTGAGTGTGCGATTGTTTACTACAAGAAGTAAACTTGGTGGTATTCAGGAAAGTGCTAGACACTGCAGACAGTCTTTTTCTTAACTATGTTTTCTTCCAATTTTGTATTCCGCACCCCCCCACACACGCACACACACTATATTTTCTCCCAACTTTCCAAAATGTCTTGCTAACTTGTCATCAGAATGGTAAAGCAAATCTTTATGAGATCTCTCTCTCTCTGATTTACTCCCCATCATTTGTTCGTTGACTTTTCTCTTTCTATCAATCTTTTCAATCCAGGGATTTCAGAGGTTTGACATTTGCCGAAGGAAAGGAAAATAGTGTACACATATAACATGTGTACATGTACAAATATAACTTCTCCCCACTTTGAAAGCACCCTGTTTACGAGAAGAATAACAAAGAGAGCCTACATAAATCGTCAAAGGGGAAGCCCTCCACGCCAAAGAGCACCCGTCAACTTAAAAATGCTACTGAGATCTAGCAAGCATTCTCCTAGGATCAAAGGCAAAGATCAGAGGAGGGGAGGTGGGGAAAAGAGACCCATGGGGTACAAAGTGTCAAGTTTGAAAGCACCCTCACCAAAAGAAAAAAAAAATCCTTCTTGGGAACTTTTAATGACATACCAGCCCACCAACTTCCTCGCTCTGTTTATCAGAAGTTACTACAATCTTTCCTTCTTGAAGTGCTAGGAAGTTTGCACTTCTCCATTCATTGTGATTTTGGGGGTGGGGGGGGTGGGAGGAAATCTGTCCTCAGTGCAAGCAAATGTGAGTGATCAATGAAAAAAAAAAGTAGACAAAGTAGATTGGGACAAATCAAGGGGAATGAGTAGGGAGTCCCCAGTCTTTAAAAACCTTTTCATAAAAAGTTCTTTAAGATATGAAATTACCATCCAAGTCCTCTTCCTGGCTGAAAAAAAAAAGAGCTTAGCAAATAAACATTTTCCTCTCCCCCATCTCATCAATGCACACATTATTCCATATTCATCGTCTCCTTTTTTGTTTTATTTTGTTTCTCTCTCACCCTCCCCTTGTGGGATGCTTCTCCTCACCCCTTTTCATCTCTCTGGAAAGTTGCACACAGAACCCAAGTCTTCTCAAACATCCCAAAATGGGGAGCAAGAGGGGACAACTTACTACTTTGCATGTGGCATCCTCCTTCTGTAGTCCGGCTTTATTTTTGCGATTCCCATTTAAAAAAAATCAAGAAGAGAAGGAGCTCACTTTGGGGGAGTCTTGGGCACGGGGGGGGGGAGGGCGGGGGTCTTGGGCCAAGATTAGCCAAAAAGGTCTTTTCTAAAAAAAAAAATAAAAATAAAAATCCAGCAAAATAAAGCAGGGAAGTGGTGTGTATGGGGGTGAAACCTGGGCACCTCTTCTTTCCCGATGGAGGGGACTTAAACCAAAGCAGTGCAGACTCTGGAGGGGAGGGGAATTAGCAAAGCCACAGCTAGAAGAAGTTCCTTTCTTGTTGGGGGGGTGGGGAGAGGAGTGGAGGAGAAAAATGGGAGAGGGCGAAGGGAAGGGCTTCCCCACCCCCCTTCGCTTCTCCCCCGGCTGCTGAACTTGACCTTTGCTGACTTCGCCGAAGCGGGCTACTGCAAGTTTCCAAGACGCCGATTTCCAGGCATTCGACACACGAGTTCATCACAAAAGCCCTTCGGGCAAAGGGGGTCAGGGAGAAAAAGAAGAACAAGAAAAGCGGGGCGCCTCCCCCTCCACCCCGCTTTTCTGATGCTTGAAACCCCCCAGAGCTTCTGCTTTACGAGTTGGGGTGGGGGTGGGGGTGGGGGAAATCAAGCGGCCGAGTTACCCCGGCCCCTCTTTTTCCAAAGCCACCCTTGCCTGCCTGCCTCTCTCTCTCTCTCTCTCTCAGCCCTTCGCGGGCGCGGACTGCACGAAGAGCGGCGAAACGTCTGAACCCAAACCAGCCACTCGCGTCACCACCACGCAGCGAAGAGCACAAGCCGGAAAAGATCCGCGCGCCCCCTCCATCTCCTCACCTCCCCCCCCCCTCTTACACACACACCACACACTCACACATACATACACGCATCTACCCCACACCGTTCCGGCTCTGGAGCTGGCCGGCCCCTCCTCCTCCTCCTCCTCAGCTTCCCCCCCCCCCCCCCCCCCCCCGGCATGTCCCCCTCCCCCGACCCCCCTCCCTACCCCACCCCCTACCCCCGGCGGGGCGGCCGCAGCCGCGGGGTCCGGCTTACCTGTTGATTAATCAGCAATAATTCGAGCAATAATGGTCGCAGCGCCTGGAAAGATGGTGGCACCGCCGCTTGCGCCATGAACCGTCTTTCTGTTGTTTGCCACAAGAGTTGATCTTGGGATTATTTTGGAAGAGGTGGAGGAGGGAGGAGGAGGGGGGGAGAGAGGGAAGGAAGGAAGGAGGAGAGAGAGGAGGAGGAAAGGAGAAGGAGGGAGGAGGAGGAGGAGGAGGAGGAAGAAGAAAGGGTTAAGGAGCCGACGGGGGTGGGGGGGGAAGGGGAGGGAAGGGAGAGACAAGAAAGGTCTACCTTCCCTTCCTCCTCGCCCCTCGCGGATGAGGGGAGGGGGTGGAAAGCCAGTTGGGGGGGGGGGGGGGGGAGACACCCGGCTCTCGCTTTAGCAAAGAGTCGGGGCAGCGCCGGGCTCGGCGTGGAACAAACAAGCGTCCGAAAAGGAGGCTGCGCCCGAGCTCCGCGCTTTATCACAAGTGTTATCGCTTGTCAGGACCTCCGTCTTCGACCATGACGTCAGTTTCAAGATACCAACACTATTAATATCAAAGGGAGCCTGAGCGAGCGAGCGAGAGAAAGCGCCACCCCAGCCGGAGAGCCCTTAAAGAGACAGTGCAGGCGTCCCCCCTGTGGCCGCGGACGGCCTTAGCCCGGCCCTCCGGAGCGGGCAAGGCTCCTCCTTCTCCGGCTCGGCCGCTCTCGCTGCCGCCGCCGCGGCCGCCGTTGCTGTTGTTGCTGCCGCTGCTGCGCCGCCACCTCCTCCTCCTTCCTTCCTTCCTTCCTTCCTTCCCTCCCGTCCTCTTTCTCGTCGTCGTCCTCCTCCTCGGGACGTGAGAGGCGGCGAGGCTCTGGTCACTCGGCTCTTGCTGGCCCCTAAGGCCGGCCGGGCGAGCCGGTGGAAGCGGCGGGGATGATGGGGGCCGGCCGGCAGGCCTTCGCTCGGGAGTTCCTCTCTGCGCGTTCCTCCCCCTTCGGGAAACCCATCGCTTTGGCAAAAGAGCCGCGGCGTGGTTGTTTTTTTTTTTTTTTTTTTCCCTGCCTGGGCGCAGGAAGTTTGAAAGGGCCGAAGGCTGAGTCCCAGCGCTTGCTTTACGGCGGGACCGGGGCAAGGGGGGGTGGTCTCGAACCGGGGTCTCTTGCATGCGAGGCATGTGCTCCAAGCCATGGTTCCGCCTTGAATCATGGCTGGTTTCTCATGCTTGCCCCGTCGTATCGCGCCCGTTGGGATAGAAACCCCGGAGTGGTTTTTTTTATTATTATTTTATTCTGGGGCATCTTCTCCAAGGACTTTACTTTCCACCCTGTTGGGATGGGAGGTGTAGTAATTGGGGGGGGGGGTTCTCTTCCCGGCAGCATCCAAAAGGATGTCTCCTCCAATGGGGCCTTGTACTCCGGATCAAAAGTGACCTCCCAAAGAAAGTCAGGGAGAAAATGCCTCTGGACCCAGGTCACCCTTTGTCTCAGATGCTGGAAGGGTCTGAAAGACAAACTTTGGGGTTGATTTCCTTGGATCTTTGCAAGGGGTGGTGGCGGTTATGTTGGCTTTTTTCAATATTAGATCATTTCTTTTAATGGAACGCTAAGCGAGACCCTACATGAAAAGCAGAGCTAAGCCGGAACCCCCTGAAGGGGCGATCACATACATAGTTATAAATCACAACGACCCTGCCAGAGATTGATCGACTCCAGTTATATTTATGGAAAGCTTTGTGGAACCCTTGGTCTGTTTACTCCAAAAGTTTCTAATCAGCAAAAGTCAAAATCCCTACATCGAATATGATCAGTGGCAAAGTATCTGCTTCAGATCTCAGGAGAAACTGAGGGGGGGGGAAACCACTTTATGATATATACGTTAAAGAGACATAAATGTTTAGAGCACATCTGGAGGCCTAAAGTAACATGATTAGCGGAGTATATTTCCTCCTCGTATATTTTGAACTAATTTCAGGTGCTTGCTATTTATTGCTTTTTTCAAAGGGATTTTTCAAATTAAGCGATCATGCAACCCACTAAGTATGAAAACGCTTGTTAAGCCTTGGACATAAAAGTTAATTCTCCCCAAATACGTTGGATTTCGTTTACTATATTTTCTTTAAAAAGGTGTAAATCAAAAAGGGTGGTTGGCGGGGGGAGGGAAGCAGAAACGTGTACGCACGATATATATTCTCCCTTACGAAAGTATTTCAACTTGGTAACTCAAAAGAAAAGGTTAATTTGGAATAGAAGGAGAAAGGTTTGCTAGGGATATGAATTTTTCATGCGTTGGGATTTGTATGTGTTGAATATCCTTCCATCGCCCAAGTCACGTAAATCTTGTGTGAGGTTTGCCTGGATATGTACATCTTTGTACAGATGCAATAATCCACAGGCAAGTAATGTAAATAAAATGTAGTCGGCTTGTCAAAGGAATGTCATGCTGGTTAACGAGGGAAAAGAGAACCATTAATAGAATAAGATGTAGAGGCCTGATTAAATACCCCATCTCCAGAAATTCATTCAGGAAAAGAAAGGAAAGTAGCACTAAAATCTGTGATAAAATTTAAAGTCAGTTACTAAGGACTATTTGCATTTTTAATGACAGAGTAATTTACTGTAGTACATTGCTATTATGAACTAGAAGGGCTCTTTGGGGAAGGGAGAGTTCCACATTTTATTTTATTAAGCTGTAAATCCAATTGCTGAAGAAATTTTAGACACAGTCAATGTCTGGAATAATTTACATAAATGAATGTTGGAACTGCTTTTTCCGCACAGAAGGTTTTTCAGAACGCTTAGTTTAACTAAACAAAATCTTGTTTTCTAGGTAATTTAAAGCCCAGCTTACAAGACAGCTGATCTGATAAACCTTCTGCTGAATTCAACCATAGGAAGGCAGATGACATGAAATTCCTTAAGTTTTTTTTGGGGGGGGGTGAGGGGAGAGGGGCACGGGAGGAGAGGATGTCTGCAAGATGAATGTGTCAGAAAAGTTTGCCAGCCAGCATTTCAAATGGAAAGACCAGAACAAGATGATTACTCATTACATGACTCTGACATTACTAATATTGCACATTTAAAGCAATGAACGCTATCCTGTTTTCTGCAGGTTCAAAGTTTTCACAAGGTAGTTTTGAAATAAGAAAGATGAGTTTGCCGTCTTTTTCTGTTCCTCAAATATTATTCACTTCAAGTTATCGTATAAAGTTTACACCCGTGGACGAAGAGTCTTATGGTGAACATAAATGTTCTAAACTTATGCATATTTTTCCAACTTTAAAAAATCCTGCTCGAATAAGTCATTTACCTGCTCACTCACGAACAACCATACAGTAAAAGTGCAACTGAAAAATGGTAAAGAGAAATGTTTATCCCCTGACTGTTCATTTCATATATGGTAATACAAGTCTGCTTTTATTTTCCAACAGAAAAATTCTGTGAAAACAGTAATATTTAGAAAGGGATCTCTAAAACAACACTTTAAAACAAAATAAAGCAAATCGCAAAGATGTGATTAGCTGAAGTTAACCTTCAAAAGATCCATGGAAGAATTTACTAACGGCAAGAACAAAACAGTCTTATTCCAAAAAAAAATTTTTTTCATGAAGTAACTCACAGAGACAATTTTTACCTCATCCTGAAGATTTTGGCACATGCTTTTCATTGGCACGATACCTAGCGCCATAAAGGATATTGTGTGGCAATTTTTCATCCTGCAAGACATTTTTCCAACTTGTTGATGAGCTCATGTAGTAATTGCTTGACTGTAACTTTTGATATACAGTACATTGCACTAGTAGTAATAAATACATTTATTTTATTTTATTTTAAGGTACCAAAACATTTGCTTTCTTTGAAACAAATTTATCCACAAAATGTTTTCTGCCACAGGAATTTCAAAAGACATGGGTAACTGTTACAGACTGTAAACATTTTTCAAGCTAAGATGCATATTTCCACAGTGGAAAAAAGGGGGTGACATGAAAATATGAAATCAAGGTGCAGGTCAGCCAAATTTAAACACATTTTAGTTCCTGATGTGTACTTTCTTCCCATTGAAACCAATTAAATTAGTCAATATTTTAAATTGAATTCCCCAGTGAAGACAGAATAGAAAGACCAGTATGGTTCATTTTGAAAGAAAACAGTGCTGCAGTCTTTTGTTTATTAAGATGAAACAACATGCCATTATGCTCTTTATTGTTGAATGCCAAAGAGGAGATTTTCCCCCCTCTCTCTCTCATCTTCTTGTAGTTTATTCAACATAGATACAGAGAAGGATTAGCAGTTAAGTACAAGCATATGTGTTTTACAATTTCAACCTTTTAGTGCATAACTTCCTTACTTAAACTACTAGAGCCTATAATCACAATGATTTTACCTGATGGAACATGTTTTTCAGAAATATAATCCAACCGTTTATCCTTAACATGTCATAAATTGCCGTTCTCCCCAAAAGCTAGTACGACTGACATCCATCACTCTTGAAACACTTCTTACATTTATAGAACACATCAACAACATTTATGCCTTATTATTCTCCAAATGTACCAAGATAAGAGCTATAAGGAAGCTTTTGTCCAACATAAATTGTCTTCAAGGCCATTTTGAAGTCAGAACAGCATCCCCTTCTCCCCAAATAATTCTGAATGTCCAGAAACATTTTTAGCTATCTCCAACGGACTCTGATGTGAAATTCTAATGGTCTTGAGAATTTGGTCACCAGTGTTTGACAAGATTCCAA